GGGGGGGGGGGGGAATATACTGTTTGGGGTGAAAGTGTTAATGATGTCTTACATTGGCAATGGAACTTTTTTTTTACTTTCAGTTGGTGGAATATCTTGTTGGTGATGGACCAAACAACAGATATGCTCTGATATGCAGTCAATGCTGCTCTCACAATGGAATGGCCCTGAAAGAAGAGTTTGAATATACAGGTAAACTGTTAACTTGATCTACAACTCCTTGAGGGGACACTCATTAATTTTCTACACAGATGCACTGTTGAGTCCCTTAGAGAAAAAGTTCTAATCCTAAGAAATGATTAACTTGTAACTTCTCCTTGAAGTATCTTTATATTATCCAGAAAACAGGTAATGAGAATACTGAAGCCTATCAGGTAGGAGTTATCTTGATCTAACAACAAGTTCGAATAAGTAAAGACCTGTTAAAACATTTTACAGTAAAAATCTGCAATAAAATTAGGAAAACATTACATGACATTTCCAGAACGTTATTATCAAGTGAAAATGAAATAACAAAACTAAGATATAATTATATAGATGAGAAAATGAATAAATTAAGAGTCATTGATAGTCAAACAAAGAGCTTAGCCTTAATGGAGTCACTCTGGGTGTTTAAATTAGGTCTTGGTGTGCTTATGTACAACATTTTGTTGACCAGGCAATCCTAGGCTCTTTGTTTGACTATCAATGACTCTTAATTTATTCATTTTCTTAGTTTTGTTATTTCATTCTCACTTGATAACGACATTCTGGAAATGTCGGAACATTGTGTAATGTTTTCCAATATTTTATCGCAGATTTTTATTGTAAAATGTGATAACAAATTCTCATAACTAATTTGCAAGGTAATGTGTGGCAGCTAGAGGGCAGAATTAACAATCAGATCTTGGTAGTTAAAGGGTTAAAAGTATCCAGGACACTAGTAACATATGAACTCAGATTATGAGGTACTCCCACAAATTCAAATCAGCTCAGTGACCATCCAGCTGAAGCTTGAACCCACACATCCCAACCTGGATTCCAGCACTTTGGTGACTGGGCTGCTGTGTCTCCCTTCTATTTTAGACAAGGTGCATTTTGCTGAGTGCTCTTTGTGTTATCTTAACAACCAGCCTTCAGATGCTGCTACTGTTACCACCTCAACCCAGCAAAGAAACATCGTCCCACTGCTCCAAAACTGGACTATGATACATGGACATCTCCAAGACAAACCTCTGGGCAGGGCACAGGGATGCGCCACAGGAAACCCACAAATTCAGTGCAGGCCATGTTAGAGAAAACGAATGGTTGGTGTCAGACAATTACTTTCCCATACTTTTGTTGGGAGAATGTTTTAGAAATGTCATGTGGTGCCTAAATTGTCATGTCCTGATTTCTCTTAGCAAGCATGGTGTCACTTGAGAAGGATACATTTTTCTCTACTTTTTGCCATCATCATAGCACTATTCAGGCTCTTCAAACTTCACATTAAATAATTTTGTATGTTTTAGTTACACAAAAGGGAGATGAGCCCAGTTCTGTGAAGGAGGAAGATGTATTGAATGGTGATGATGCTGCAGTGGAGAACATCGAAGGCAAAATGCAGAGTGAACAGAAAATTGATGAGAGAGATGCCGGTGAGTTTTTACAAGATTGAAACTTAACTTGTCCCTCTCTAGTGACTGGAAGTTCTCGTAGGAACTAACCTTGTGTTTCTCTGTGGAAGAGGTTGAACAAATTGGAAGAAAAAGGCGTAAATTTTCCCAAATTTGTTTCTTATTGAGTTCTACAGAAAGGAGCTACACATTAGATGATTGATACATACATAATTTGCAGTAAATGTCTTTGGCATTTTATTTTTTAGCTTTTTATATAGGAGCTTATTTTTGAAAGGTTTGTGGACACTTTGCAAAATGGGCAACTTTGGAAATTTTTCAAGCCACATGGCAAATCCCTTTTCCAAACTCTGAACTTGAATCAAAAACCAAATGAAATTTACCTAGGAACACCTTTTAAGTTTAAAACAACTTGTAAAACTTGCTACTTAAGTTGTTAGGTCTACTTCATTTGCTGTTAGCTCCTATTTGCTTTTCTCTAGTTCTATTCTGGTGTATTTGGAGTTACAGCTTAGGTTTAAGTTATTTTAATTACCAAGGGCAGTTCTTGCACCCGACTACTTATGTAACAAGTTACAAAAACGCACCACCATACATGATCAAGCCACGCGGCATAGCAACAAACTTCAGATCCCTTTTTGTAAGTCGGCGAACGGTCAACAAACCTTTGCCTATAGAGCAGTTTCACTATTAAATTCCCTGAGTAGTGATGTAGTGAACTGCCTTCAGCAAGGTCACGGAAACATTCTTTGAAGGACTCCCTAAGAGGGGCACATTAATAGTCTTTGTATGAGACCCATTGGACATAAAAAAAAAATTATATATTTATTTTTCATTTTTATTACCCTATTTGAAGTTGTTCAGTTGTGATTGTAAATTGTCTACCATTGTAAATAGTTGCTAAAAAGCCGGTACAGGAGTAATTATTTAAGTTCATTCATTCATTCATTCATTCATTCATTCATTCATGTAGCAGCTTTATACTAATGTTCATCAAAATTAGTTTCCTCTCATTAAGGTGCTTGTTCCCTGGTTACTATTTCAGTTAGCTGGGGCACAGGTGTGACTCAGACCCAGGTTAACATAGTGAATTCAACAAAGTTATAAGATGGCAAGTTGAACCTTTGTACTGTTTGTTATCTCTTATTACCATTTTGTTTTTGTTTTTGTAGAGACCACAAACAGCTCAGAAAACAACTTGCAAGAAAAGGACTGTGACCAGGAAAATTAAGATGTTGTATGCAGTTGTTGCCATGGATGGTTACAGTTTTGTTTTGTTTGGTACAAAGTTATTTTAAATTATTGTGTAAAATGAGCAGTAACAAGGTTGTTATGGAGCCTGGAATAGGGATGGCAGTTTACTGTGAAATGCATTGAAGTCATTTACAATTTAATTCCAAAGGCCCCCACTGTAAGTTAGTCTAGACCATGAGAAGCTGAAGAATGTGTAGTCTCAGATTTTTTGTGGATGGCATATTTATTATGACGATTGATGAGGAATTCTCTCTTTTCTCTTATGATGGTGGTGTTAGATATCCCGTGAGATTAATTTATTGAGAGAAGAAATGACACTTATAACGGTAAAAGTAAAGGGACCATAGGATACTTGGTAGTTTTGAGTAGAAGTGTTGAAGTGTACTGTTCTAAATCCCTTCTTTCAATGTCAGTACCTAACTGTCAACTGTTTTAGATTTAACACCAAATTCTTAGAGCTAGAATTATAAGGAATGTATGGCAGACAGTGCAGAGAATTGATATTCTAATCTTTGGAGTGGAAGAGTTAACACAGCTTCAAATGCACACCTGGTCACATTGTGTTCCCTTAATTTATGAACCCAAGAATAATGTTGACAGATGGATCAAATTGAGAGTTACCGAGAAGTAGAAATTTTTTGTTATGCATAATACTATATTTATAATTTATTTTCAGCAAACAGTGCTGCATAACAAATTTTAACTCAGCGATAAGTTGACATTACAGTTGCATGAGACAAGTGGAAATAAAGCTTAAATTTTGAAAGATTAATGATGAGATCAATTTTTTGTAAAAACTTGTATTGTGTCCTAGTTACTATGGTTGTGCAACACATGGAAAGGGGCACATCCATTTTTTGTTCTCGGCAATCTTGAGTGTAGCATCAAATTTTTCTAGGGGGAAAAATCAGTGACACTTCCTGTAAGGGAGGAGAAAGAATTCCCCAGTGGCAGGGGGGGTAGGGGGGCTAGCCCTTCAGTAAATTTTTACAGAAATTCAGGCCTTGAGATTAGAGAGGTTTCAGGTCTAGAGAGGTATTTACTCAGAAATGTTAGACTCTAAAGTTATTATGTGCCTGGGTTATTGTGTAGTGTACTTGGGCAAGACATTACTCCCACAGTGCCTCTTTAACATAAGAAATTCCAACAAGCACCCACTCCTCCCTATGTCAAACTGACAATAGCATTAACCGTTTATCCCCTATTGTCAGGGACTTAACAATACAATATTCTTTATTTAACGAAGGTGACGTAATTAACCCAATGAGTTATCTAACTTACAGCCTTCACAACACTACAAACCCACCATCCCACCCCAGGGGAGGACATCCATCACACAGTAATCTCATGTGTGGGAAATTAACGTTTCCAACCCCAACCCTGCAGGAGACGGGACCTCCATTTATTCCTCCCCATCCGAGAAGACTAGAATATCTAACCATTTCTTGATGTTATAGAAAGATAGAAAATTCTGTAAGGTGGTCATTTCATTCATTCTCATGAGCCTAATGTTTGATTCAAGGGTGACTTTGTAAGGAGAAATTAGAAGACAGTCACTGTTAGGGGTTAATGATTAAGAAAAAATAAAACTGAAAATAGTATTAAGAGAAAATAAAACTGACTGAATTGTTGTCCTCAATACTGAAAAAGGTGAGGAACTACCCTGAGAAAAGGTAATGAAAAATGAGTGAGCCATCTTTGCAATCTCTCTTCATACACTCTTGTGAACTTGATCAAGAAATGAATTCTCAGGTATTCTAGAGCTTAATAAATTGTTTTATACCAAATGTTTATTTTGCATATTTCACTGATTCCCCCCTCCCCCCCCCCCATTTTTTTAATATCACTACCTCTGGTTTAAGGAAAATTTTAATAGAATTCAAATTTAAAATAAAAATGAAGTACTCTAATCTGGGCAGGAAAGATGAAAACAGACTTTACTTGTCAAAAACGATTCGTGCTTTAGCTGTCTGGAAAAATTCTTAATTTGAATTTTTAAGGAAATATCTGTCGTAAAAAAGGAGAGAAAACACAGGGAACAAAGCGAGTTTAGGTAATTGTCAGTATTAAGAAAGAAGCCAATGAAGAAAGATAGAAAGTGAAGATTGAGGGTTTTTCATTGTTGATCCTGTCAGCATCACAGGTGGTCCCTGCAATTTTAGGGACAAAAAATGAAATGATAACAGGTAATTATGAAAGCACGCACATACACTGAGCCCAAAAACTTATTTCTCTTAAGACCAAAATTGTCCAAAATGTTTCCAAATCTAGAAAGAGTTCCATTTATAGTTTCAAAGTAAAAAAAAAAAAAAAAAAAAA